GGAAGTGGCGCTGTGGCTCAAGTGGTAGAGCGCTAGCCTTGAGCTGAAGAGCTGAGGGACAGCACCCAGGCCCAGAGTTCAGGCCCCACGACCGGATCCAAAAAAAAAAAAATATGCTAAACAAAGTACTACATTAAAGCTGACAAGTATTTTCTCTGCTTCAAAGTAGTTAAGGTCATGTATGAAAATATGTATGCACGTATGTCTGTGTGTATATGTATGAAAATAAAAGAAAAAAACTGTTGGAATTGTTTTAAGATGTGGGATAAGAGGGGAAAGGGAAAGTGACAGAGAGGGTGAGGCTAAGGGGCATAGTGAAACTCTCCTCCTTTAACAACTAGTGTATGCTAATAAAAAAAAGTGATGTCTTTTACAAAAAGGTGGTTTTTTTTCCCCACAAACTACTGTTTAGTAAAACACTATTAAATGAAAAGCTCAGCTTAAATATTTGGGAATACTAATTCCTAAGTTATTAATATTTAATAGTTATTAACTAGTTGATATCAATGAAATTAATGACTTGCTGATCAGTACAGTTATCAATACTAAATTCCTAACTTCTTAAAATATTGATGGAGGGAGTATCTAGGATTCACCAAAGATTTACCTTGTGACAGCAATCCAGGAAGGGAGAGTCTGCGACTGCCTCCCTCAGATTCTTCCTCTCTGATATCCACGAGACTTGAACTTTTCTTTCCTTGCATTGATTCCTGTTTAACCTGTTCTTCTCTACTATCTTTCAGAGGTTCAGGGCCTGTCTGAATTCCAGTTTCACATGGGGCTGTATTATAAAAGTTGATAACTTTCTTTAGAGACGAGGCTCCAGCTTCATATGTAGCTGCCACTCTCACACCAACAGCAGATGCACAAGAGACCACCAAGCTGTTGAGGGCTGAGGTGCTTGTGGTTGGTGGGCTGTGAAGATTAGGAACTGCTTCTTCTACAAGAGACTAAAACATACACATATAAAAGTACATAAAAATACTAGTCCTTGTTTGTATGTATGAAAATATAGCAATGAAATCTGTTGAAATGGTTTTAGGAAGGAAGGGGTAAGGAGTAAGAGAGACTGATAGAGACTGCGATACTTTTCTACACATATGGAAATGTAACAAGGAAACCCCCTTGGTACAATGTTTGCTAATCAAAAATGCAATCCCTTATAAAACAAGAAGTCAATAAAAACAAAATTTAATGCTCACATTACTTGCACAAAAAAGTCTAAAACAAGCCAGTAATCATGGTGCCTGTTAAGAATCTCAGTATTCAGGAGGCTGAAATAGGAGGATTATGAGTTCCAATCCAACCTGGGATACATAGTGAGAATCTGTTTTAATCTAAAACATGAGACGGTTCATCTTCAACTTAAAAGTATTCTCTTCCAATTACAGACCTAACAGATAATATAAAAATTATATTCAAAATAGAGTTCTTTGTCAGTTATTCATTACTATAATCCTAGCTACTCAGAGGGGGCTGAGAGCTGAGAATCTCAGTTTAAAGCTAGCCTGGACAGGCAAATTCTTATTTACAATTAGAAAGCAAAAAGCTAGAAGTGAGCCAGGTGGCTCATGCCTGTAATCCTAACTACTCAGGAAGCTGATATCCAAGGATCAAAGCAGGAAAGTGTGTAAGATTCTTATCTCCAATAAACTACTCAGAAAAAGCCAGACATGGTGCTGTGGAGCAAGTGGTAGAGTGCTAACCTTGAGCACAAAGAGGCTTAGGGACAGTGCCCATGCTCTGAGTTCAAGCTAGAAGAGTAGCCAAAAAAAAAAGCTAGAAGTGGTAGGTGCCAGCCATGAGAGAAAAAGCCAAAGCTTCAGGCCCTGAGTTCAAGACCCAGTACTAGAAAAACACATAAAAATAAGTATTTCCCCCTTTCAAAGGTCTTATCTTTCATATTTAAAAAAATAAGTTCTATCTGCTCTTGTAAAATTAAACACAGAAAGGGGGAGAGAAGGATAAAAAGTGGCTCTCTGGTTAGAAAAGGCCAAAAAAGAACAAAATCAACCTGTATTAATGATCACTTTCCACAAATTTTATGAAAATTGCCACTAAGAACTAGCAGAAAAAATTAGTTATTAAGGGGAAAAAGCCTTTTCTAAAATGTTTTATAATGGAAGTTCAGGCCTAATACATTCTCATAATGTATCACTCCTGAAAACAAACTCTCAAGTCTCTCATTGTCTTATCAATGAATTATTTTCCATGAACAAGCAGGTAAACAAGCTTTAGGATTAAACTTTGCTCTGGTTACTAGAGAGGATAAATGTGACAAGTTAATAATTAAACATGTTTAATATTTTTACTGTGTTTCATAGGTCTGTTAGAAAGAAAAACTGAAGTTTTCTAATATCTTAGTGAAAAACAGGCTAAATTTACCAAATATCAATTTACTAAAATGAAAAGCCATTAGATATATGTAATATACACATATACACAAAAGCTTTTGGCATACAAGAATAGTTACAAGGAAAAATGTGGTTCTAATTCTACCCCCAAACACCAAATTCTTTATTAGTTGGTTATAAGACTGAAATATTATTTACAAAGAATGAATTAAAAAGGAACACATGATGCTAAAACTAGCATAAGTAACAAAAAAGTATTTAGCAAAATAAATTTTTTTAAAATGTTAATTTCAATGATAGCTATATACAAGAAACTGTGTGTGTGTATTTGAGTATGCGTGTATGGGCTTGATTCAATCACGGTCTTGCACTCTCTGCTTGCTTCCTCATGGCTAGTGATCTACCACTTGAGCCATTCCTCTAACCCAGTTTTTCTGCCAGTTAATTGGAGAAGTCTAGTGAACTTCCTGGGCTGATTTCAAAACATGATCCTTCAGATCTCAGCATCCTGAGTAACTACAATTATAGGCATGAGCCACCAAAACCTGGTTTCAAAAATAAACTTCCAACTTTTAATTTAAATTGGAGGAATCAAGGACTAAAGATAGAGCTCAATAATACAGCACCTGCCTAGCAGGCACAAGCCCTAGGTTCAGTCTCAAGCATTGACTGAATGAGTGAATGAATACATAAATAACTTTCACAAATCCAAACTTTTTTTTGTTGTTTTGTTTTGATTTTGAGACAAGGTTTTCCTTATGTAGCCCAGGCTAACCTTAAACTCATAATTGTCCTACCTCAGCCTCCAGAGAACTGGTAAAGGGAGACTTCTTTATAAGAATATAGTCTAGAATTTTTCCTTGTATATTCTCAATTAAATTTTTATTTTTCCTGTTTATAGTTTGCAATATCTTCCTCCAAATAGCTTATTCCAATATTTTTTAAAAATCAACTATCAAAAAGATACAATGAAGCCAGGTACTGGTAGCTCACACCTATAATCTTAGCTACTCAAGAGGCTGAGATCTGAGGATTAAAGTTCAAAGCCAGCCCAGGCAGGAAAGTCTGTAAGACTCTTATCTCTAATTAACCACCAGAAAACCAGAAGTGATGCTGTGGCTCAAAGTGGTACAGTGATAGTTTTGAGCACCTATTAGCTCTAACTATTCAGAGATCTACCAAAGTTATTCCATACAAATGAAGGAAAAAATGCTAATAAGAAAAAAACCAAACAGGATTTGCTCTTTGTGTCCCTCTCGGTATACTAAATATGGAGTCCTTGGTGACCATGTGGTCACCTGCTGTAATCCCTACTGACAAGTTAGGAAAAGACACCAGGCCCTCTTCTATGTAATAACCCATGTGCAGGTCCCTGATTGTCGCAAATGGATCTGCAGTATCACAAAGGGGCTTTAAGATGCTCAAAAGTATGTTATCTTTGGGGGGCGGGGAGGTGAGAGCTCCGGAGGCCCACACAGAGGTAACCCTTTGCAGAGATTTTGTACTAAACCAAGGACTGGAATCCTAAAGTTTCTGAAGATGGCAATCTACCCCCTTAGAGACTTGGAATGACCAGAATGCCTAGGCAATGGCTTCTACTATTACTACTGGCTATGTCAAGTAGAGAGCAAGCTCTTTCTTGCTATGGACTTTGCCAATACAAAGGGTAACCTTTATCTCAGGAGCTTATATCTTTTCTGATTCATCCATGAACAACTATCAACTTAATTAAGCAGAAAACTGCCTATTCACTTGACCAAGGACACGTGTTTTATACCACCTTTAAAAAAAAATTGTGTGCCAGTACTGGGGCTTGACCTAAGGGCCGAGATACTGTCCCTTAGTTTTTTTTCTCAGGCCTAGCATTCCACCTCTTGAGAAACAGCCCCACTTCTGACTGTTTGGTGTGAGGTAAGAGTCTCATGGACTTTCTTACCTGGACTGGCTTCAAAATGCAATCCTCAGTTCTCAGCCTGCTGAGTAGCTAAGAATACAGGCATAAGCCATTGGTACCTGGCCTGCTGTATACAATCTTTATCAAAAAATTACAATAAAGTACTTTAAACAAAAAGAAAAAAAACAGGATTTGGCTATTTCTAAAACAGGCTCACCATGACATCTCTCAATATTACAAAGGTCTAGAACTTAAACATATAGAGTTCTAAATATAGATTCTTTATCTACGCTTGCCTAATAAAACAGAATTATAATCAAACTTACAAAACAAAAAGTGTTACCAAACCTCAGCATTTCAAAGTACCTAGAGGAAAAGGATGTAAGGTTTTACTTCTGAAATATCTTTATTATAAAATTGAGCGGGTACCTGAGGTGGTGGTGTTTTTTCACCCTTCTCTGAATCTTCCTTTATTGAATGATCTGACAATTTCTTCAAGTACTCATTTACTGCCTTTGTGTCGGGGTATGATGGTAAGTTTCTGGCGGAAGAAATTTCAGTTGTTCCCTCATCATTTTGATGGGAGGAAATGGCATTGTCACTCGCAGTCTCAACACTTCCCATGTTCAATTCAGTTGGAACAGGTAGACCAGTTTCTACAAGAGTGTTCTCAAATACTTCTCCCTGACTATCAAGGGTCTTGGTGGAGGGGCTGGTGGCAGTGCTGGCATGGTTTTCTGCCTGGGATTCTGACAGCGTCACACCTAAAGGGCAACAATGACTGTCTGATATAATCACATGGTCTTCTTTGTCGGTCATAGTAATTAGGAGCTGGCTGCACTGGTTGCATCTTTCGGGGACTGGCTTCAGATCCTGGGACGGGAGGCACTGCACAAGGGCTAGGCTGTGGAAAGCACCACAGGCAATTTGTAGCACCACTCGCCCAGCAAGATGTTCTATCTTTTGTGGCTTTGTCACTGGGAAGGTAGTGGTGATGAGACCCAGCTGGCAACCGGTACCCCAGGCCCAAATCTCTCTGCTTATTGACAATGCCAGAGTATGCTCCTCGCCACATGCCAACTGCAAAATTCTGACCGCTAACAAAGGACTGGTCTCCGAATCAGAAATGCTGACAGGGTTCGGTTCTGGCACATACTGCTGGTTAGCTACTGCACACTGGCCAGCAGAATTCTCCCCCCACATGTACACTATGCCACTATCTGTCACTGCTCCATTGTGGAAGCTCCCTGTTGCCACAGTAACAACATGATGCCCAACCAAAGCATTTTCTAGAATGGGGCTACTTGGACAAACTTCTGCTGGTTCACTTCTCCAGGCAAGGGTCCCAAAGCTGTAGACCTCACCATCTAAAGATTAAAAAAAAAAAAAAAAGGAATAACAAGTTAGTGAATTAACTACAAATGTTATCAGCAAACTTCTAGTTCCATCTAGTTTAACAAAACAGATTGTTTTTCTCTTTTAATTTCAAAAGCACAGTTGTAGACATTTAGTTCAAGCATATAGTACTTCATTTTTTAACAAATAAGTTTCTCGACGCCCCCCCCAACCCCCAACCAATATTGGGGTTTGAACTTGGGACTTACACTTGCAAGGCAAGCACTCTACTACCTAAGCCATATACCCAATCCTTTTTGCTTTATTTTTCAGATAGGTTCTCTTGATTCTTTGCCAAGGGCCAGTCTCTAACTGCAATCCTGCTACTCTGCATCCTGAAGATGCGGGATTACAGACATTTATCACCATGCTCAACAGAAATAACATCTTTTAACTCTCTAATACTCTAAAATTTGCAAACTATAAGGAGTTTCTTTCAAATGGACAGCGCTACTCTTTTCTTCAGATATCCTACAAACTTCCAGCATGAAACCATTACTAGTGATAACTACATGAAACCACTACTAGTGATAACTACATGAGCAGTATCTAAGCAAGCACTCAAAGATAGAATGATAAATATATTAAGATAAAGTAAGAAGATAAAAGAAACAATATTCACTAATGTTTCCAACATTCACTATTGAACAGGTCAGAACACAAGAAAACATGCAATAAAAACCTTAAAATGTGAGCCAGGGGCTAGTGGCTCATTGCTTGTAATCCTAGCTACTTGGGAGGTGAAGAATGGGAGGTTGAAGGTTTGATGCCAGCCCTGGAAAAAAGGTTTTTGAGATCTTATCTCAACCTATAGCTCAGTCACCCCAGCTATAGCAAGAAATATAAGGAATGGTTCAACTCTTAAAGAGTCCTGCCTAGAAAATAAAAGTCCTAAATTCAAATTCTCATGAGGGCTGGGAATGTGGCTTAGTGGTAGAACGCTTGCCTAGCATGCAGGAAGCCCTGGGTTTGATTCCTCAGTACCATATAAACAGAAAAAGCCAGAAGTGGCACAGTGGCTCAAGTGGTAGAGTGCTAGCCTTAAGCAAAAGAAGCTCAGAAACAGTGCCTAGGCCCTGAGTTCAAGCCCTAGGACTGGCAAAAAAATGAATGAATGAATAAATAAATAAAAGTCTCATATGACCAATAAAGAATAGAGATACATTTTTGCTAAAACTAAAAAGTTAGTTTTATGCCTCCAAATTGTACAGAAAGCAGCAGTATTGTATCAAGACATGAGCATACTACAAGTAATTTTTTATGGTATAAATACACATATGCTGGGCTGGGAAGGTGGCTCAGTGGTAGAGCGCTTGCCTTGCATGCATGAGGCCCTGGGTTCGATTCCTCAGTACCACATAAGCAAAAAGAAAAATGCCGGAAGTGGTGCTGTGGCTCAAGTGGTAGTGCTAGCCTTGAGCTGAAGAGCTGAGGGACAGCGCCCAGGCCCAGAGTTCAGGCCCCACGACTGGACCCAAAAAAAAAAAAAAAATACACATATGCTATATACAAAATAGCTTTTCTGAGATGTGATTTGTTTAAAAAGCAAATCATCCCAACAAAATTAAGAAAGGAAACTGTAGCAAATGACTGGCTAGCTTTAGAACTAAATGAAAGGCATGAATGAGTTGGATATACATGAATGATAATAACGTGTCCAGGTATGCTACAAGTCTTAATTTTATTTTTGAATAAGTTTGTAGGACTTTGGGGCATGTGTACCTAATCCATGTTGGCAAAAAAAAAAAAAGAACCAATAGAGCAAGACTGTGTCTTAAAAGAAACCAGAAAAATAAATAGAATGAAGACTTGGCCACAGGTTTTCGGTTGGTTGTGGGGATTGAACTCAGGGCCTGGGCATTGTGCCTCTTTGTTCTCAAGGCTAGTGTTCTACCACTTGAGCCACAGTGCCACTTCTGGCTTTTTCTGAGTAGTTTATTGGAGATAAGTGATTCAGGGACTTTTCTGCTGGGCTGGTTTCAAACCACAATCCTCAGATCTCAGAAGCTAGGATTATAGGCATGAGCCCCCTGGCACCTGACTTTGGCCCCAAGTTTTTAAAAATATTGAACTAAAAAAGTGGGGGCGGCTGGGAGGGCGGCTCAGTGGTAGAGCGCTTGTCTTGCATGCCTGAGGCCCTGGGTTCAATTCCTCAGCCCACATAAGCAGATAAAGCCAGAAATGGCTCTGTGGCTCAAGTGGTATAGGGCTGGCTAGCCTTGAACTGAAGAGCTGAGGGACAGCACCCAGGCCCAGAGTTCAAGCCCCAAGACCAATCAAAACATAAATGAATACATAAAATAAAAATATTAAACTAAATCCACTATCCTTTCCTTGTCGTAAGACTAAAGACTGTTTTTGTTTGTTTGCCCATCCTCGGGCTTGAAATCTGGGCCTGGGCTCTGTTCCTGAGCGTCTTTGTGCTCAAGGCTAGTGTTTTACACCAAGAGCCACAGAGCCACTTCTGGCTTTTTCTGAGTAATTATTCGAGATAAAAGTCTCATGACTTTTCCTGCCCAGGCTGGCTGAGCCACAGTACTTGGATCTCAGCTTCCTGAATAGCCAGGATTATAGGAATGAGCCACTGGCACTTACATTTTTTTTAATAGAGAAATCTTTTCTCACAAACCAACAATTGAGTTGATAATGATACAAACACATTTATTTTTTACTTATTCTGTGTGGCAGATATATTTACACATTCAAATGTATAAACAACAATACATCACACCATCAATGTAAGGAATAACACAATAGCAGCTAGAGGGAAGACAGGAACTGCTAGAAGGGAATATAATTTTAAGATACAGAATATTAAGAAAATATGCTAACTGATTAAATTCCTTTAAAGTTTTTTCCCAAGTGACAAATGCACACTAAAGGCTTTCAATTAATATTATTCTAACTAGCAAGAGCAATACTTCAAAGAAATAGTATTTAGATCTCCACTTTGTTTCTAAACTAGAGCAAATAAAAAAAAAAAAGTGAAGCTGGGCACCAGTGGCTCATGCCTGTCATCCTAGCTACTCAGGAGGCTGAGATCTGAGGATCATGATGCAAAGCCAGCCCAGGCAGGAAAGTCCGTGAAACTTTTATCTCCAATAAACCACCAGAAAACTGAAAGTGGTGCTGTGGCTCAAGTGGTAGAGCCCTCGCCTTGAGCTGAAGAGCTGAGGGACAGTGCTCAGGCCTAGAGTTCAAGCCCCATGACTGACAAAAAAAAAAAAAAAAGCAAATCAATGAAAGACACGCATAGAATTGTAAGCTTTGGTCAAACTAAGTAGATAAAACCTGAAAATTTCTGGCATTTAATCAGTACCATTTCCTCACCTACAAAAGATTGCACTCAAGATCTTTGCACTATCTTAAGCATCCTGTGTGAGATCTTTCATGTTTGGTTTGGTTTCTTTTTTTGGTACTGGAAGCTGAATCCATGGCCTTCCACATGCTGAACACACACAGTCTACCTCTGAGCTACACAGATGCCAGCCAAGCTAAGTTTTTGGTGCCTTTGACACTTATTACCAGGGTATTGTTTAAATATAAACAATAATTAGTTATGCATGCAATTTTATAAAATCGTCCCAATTTTATAGATATGACTGTAGTTTTTAAAGTATGTTAATGAAGGATTTCCAAATACTTTATTGAAAGTTGCCAGATATCTTTTTTTTTTTTTTGCCAATCCTGGGGACTGAACTCAGGGCCTGGGCACTGTCCCTGAGCTTCTTTTACTCAAAGCTAGCACTCTACCACTTGAACCCAGCACCATTTCCAGCTTTTTCTGTTTATGCAGTACTGAGGAATTGAACCCAGGGCTTCACGCGTATTAGGCAAGCACTCTACCACTAAACCACATTCCCAACCTCCCAAGTATCTTAATAAAGACATTTCAAATATTTATTGAAAATAAAGCTGGGTTCTGGTGGCTCACACCTATGATCCTAACTACTCAGGAGGCTGAGATCTGAGGATTGCAGTTCAAAGCCAGCCCAGGCAGGAAAGTCCGTGAGACTAATATCTCCAGTTAACCACCAGAAAACTGGAAGAGCTCAGGAATAGCACCCAGGCCCTGAGTGCAAGCCTCACAACTGACAAAAAAAAAAGATGTACCAGTTTTTATAACATGCTCTTGTGTGCTGTTATTTATGCCTGAAAAAAAGTACACTTAGTATTGCCAAGTGGCAGGATTTGAGAATCAGGAATATAGGTCAGCAGTAGACAGCCTGCCTAGCCATGTGAATCCTGTATATGATCCCTAGCACTAGGAGAAGAAAAAACAAAAGCTTTTGAAATCAGACTGAGTTCCAATCCTGACTCTAACTCTGACACTTTTAATGGCTTTGGGTAATTATGATCATTATTTAACCTCTCTGACATTTGGTTTATCTACCTCACAGGGTAAAGGCTCAGAGAGATAACATAGGGAAAATTTATAATTAGTCCTGGCAAGTATTGGATAATAAACATTAGGTATTATTAGTAATATTGCTCTGATATAGTAAATGAGCAAAAGTTATAGCAAAGGGGTCCCTGAATAGGAAATCTTTCATAAAGTTACTGTGTTTACTGTGTCAAAGCTCTAATTTTTCCATCTGTTCTAGTTAATGGGATGTCTTAAGAAATAGCATGATTTCTGATCAAAAGAATAAAACATATTTTCAAAAACAAAAGGGTATCAGCTCCAGCGAAGATCAGTAAGAACCTCCAGTATCTAATAACCCATTTGGGCATCTATTAACATTCAGTTAAATATTTTTTAAGTCATTCTTTTCTTTTCTTTGTTTGTTTTGTTATGGTTTGAATTCAGTACCTGACACTTTCCCTCATTGGCTAGTACCCTACCAACTATGCCATGCCTCCAATTCCAAGGCATTCTTTTCAATACCTTCAGTCAGAAGAACTCCATGCTTCACTCCCAGGGCTGCTTGTAGAACAGTCTTTCCTCCCCAGCCTGGCAACCTCTCCGGTGTTAGGGAAAAGGATCCTGCCTGCCAGACATGGACCAAGCCTCTTTCTTTGGATCCTTCTGCCTCTGTAGAGCTACAAACATCAAAAAAAAGGTAAGAAGGCTTAACTATTTCTGTAATTGTTCTAATTTTTTTTCTTTGAGATACTGGGGTTTGAACTCAGGGCCCTGCACTTGTCAGACAGGCATTCTACCACTTGAGACATACCTGTAGTCCACTGTAGATTAGAACTTCAAAACTGAATCTTCTGTTCTTAATTCTTTTTTTTTTACTAAGTTTTTTTATTGTGAAAATACTGTACAGAGGGGTTACAGTTACATGAGCAAGGTAATGAGTACATTTCTTATCAAGCATTGTTGCCTCCTCCTTTGTTTTTCCCCTACCATCTCTCCCTCACACCTCCACAACTACACTCCCCGTGCTCCCCTCCCCCACCTAAATTGTAAAGTTCGTTTTTCAACATAGTGCTTTGTACATATCATTGTTACAATGGGTCAACCTGTATGCCTATTTAAACATTTTGTTTTTTCCCCTTGTCCTCCCCAAATTATACCCATATCAAATACAGTGAAAACAAGGTTATACCATGGGGGAGGAATATACAAAGCAACAAAAAAATCACATGGTACATTATAAATACATTAGAAACAATAGCAAGAAAGAAAAAAAACACTGTGTTGTTCTTAATTCTCATCATCAGATTAGACCTTTACCAGCAGATAGGTCACATAAACAGTACCTACTTATACTTTGGCAATGTCACAGGAGCGAAGACAAAGTATCTAAATGAAATGATGGAGGATAATTGAAACCCACAAGTTAGTTCTAAGCAGTACATAAAAGGGGCTATTTTTAGAAGTTTTATGATTTGGTAGCATCAAATTTCAAGATTCAACTTCTCAATACATTAACCCTTGCTTAAATATTAAAGTTATCTGCAGGTGTGCCTCAAATAGTAGGGTGCTTATCTTGTGAGCACACAGCTGAGTCCAAAACCTAGTGTTGCTATAATTGATTGATTGATAGTAAAGTTATCACAGGTTGAATATTATTTTTTAAATTCTGTTTATAATTGATAGAAAGTATTTGATGAGTATTCGATTAGAAAGATATGAGGAATAGGGCTGGGGAGATGGGTAAAGAAACAGTACAAGGCCCTGGGTTCAAATCCCAGTACCACACACAAAAAAGAGAACAATATGAAGTTCTTATTTCACTTTATGCTGACTTTAAATCTATAATTACTAAACTTTTAAAATGTTTTGATGTATAAATGACAAACTGCACAAATTCACAGAGTACAATTTGACATTTCAGTATATGTATACAATGTGTGTAATGATGAGATCAGGGTAACTGGTATATTTACTATCTCAAATATTTTATCAAAGCCTTCTCTACTACTTTGAAATGTATCATTTGTCATTCATAGCTACCATCCTGTTCAACAGACCACTATAAGCTACTCTAACTGCACCTTGTACTTGTTAACCATCTTCTCTCCACTCATGCTTCATTCTCACCTTTATAGCTTCTGTATGTGTGCGTATGTGTGAGGGAGGGAGGGAGGAGAGGGGAGGGGGGGAGAGAGAGAGAGAGAGAGAGAAACATACAGACAGACACAGACAGAGAGAAAAGGGAAAGGATTTTATTCTTTTTTTCTGGCTGAATATAGTCCACTGTGAACATACATACATCACATTTTCTTACCCAATTTTACCTCCACAGGCATTTAGATTGATTTCACACCTTAGTTATCATGAATACATCTACAATAACAAAGAAGTGCAGATGCTTTTCAATGTACTTATTTCCTTCTTTACTCCACAGTGAGACTGTCAGATACACAGTACTCCTACTTTCCATTGTTGTTGTTGTTTTTAAGGAGTCTCCTATACTATTTTGCTCATTATTTTAATTTTTTAAATCAAATTCATAACAAATAACAATAAAATACTTTATGCTTTACTTATCATCTAGCCAAAGAATTCTATTTATCTGATGACTTCAGGTCAAAGAATACAAAGTAGCTGTATGATAAGAAAAGGGCATATTAGGATATCTTGAGTTTCCTTTACAGAACTGTCCTATGTGTCACACGTGGAGATTTTTTGGGTTTCTCAATTTTCTTTTTCTAGAACATAGATGCTAAATTATTAAACCATGGATCAACAGGAGGTAAATTACAAATTTAACCTTTTTTTAAAAACATCTTCTGTAACTAGTTTTGTTAGCAGTACTTCATGCTTATTAGGTAGGCACTCCATTTCTACTGCTTGAGCCAGGCCTCTGGCCCTGCAATTCATTTTCTAAGGACAGAGTACTGAAACTAATAAGTAATAAGGCTACCTTTTAAGTCTGAAATTATTTGTGAAGAAGAAAAATGACTACAAGAATTTTAAGTGATGAAATGAAGACAATGCCTTTGTAATAAGCATAACAAACTAACAACAAAGCTCATCGTTAATGGGCTTCATTTAAATAGTTTTTTCTTTACCAATCAACTACGATTGTCACACTGTACTCTCACTGTCAAAAAGAAAATTAAACTGAAGAAAAGTTACGATTATGTAGAGTTGCCTATTGTTTTTTTCCAGGAAGAATAAAGGAGAATGAAAATATGATTTTACCTTTTCTTCTTTGAGTCCATCGGTCACGGAGAATTCTCCATCACAAAATCATTCCCTTTTTGCAAAAAGCACATTAAGACCTAAAGGAGAAAACATTAGTTAAGCATAAAAAGCAATGAAAGAATGCCTTGCTATTTTATTCCTTGGATTAGGAGGGAGAAAAAAAGGCAGGCCTCTAACAAATATACATTGACTGGGGAAAAAATATACAGAGAAACCATTCAAACTATTTCTTATCCTGCCTACCAAAGTCAAATATCTAGACTAAGCCTGCCCACTGAACTTACGAAAATGCAAATTGAGTACCAAACATGTCAAAGAAAAGCCTATCTACAACATCTGTCCTGTTCCAGCCAACAAATTTTTTTTGTTTCGAAGTTAGTTCAACCTAGAAATCATTTAAGTACAAAAATTACAAATACATTAAAGCCACTTTTAATTTTTATTATACAGGTAATGGGCTATAGTTACATAAATCAGGTAAAGAATATATTTCTTTTTGGACAATATCCAAATATATATATATATATATATATAATATACATATATACACACATATATATGTGTGTGTGTCCTATATATACATTTTTATTTTTATTTTTTTTTTGTTTGGTCGTGGGGCCTGAACTCTGGGCTTCAGCTCTTCAACTCAAGGCTAGTGCTCTACCACTAGAGCCACAGTACCACTTCTGATTTTTTCTGCTTATGTGGTGCTGAGGAATCAAACCCAGGGCCTCATGGATGTAAGGCAAGTACTCTACCACTGAGCCACCTTCCCAGCCCACTAAGGTTATATTTTAAGTGCCTCTGGAATACATGAAGAAGTATATATTAATTTATTAATGGCCCAGATTCAAATAATTTTAATTACATTTTAGTAATGTACAAAAAAATACATTATTAAAATTTTTTCTACCGGCAGGGTGCCAGTGGCTCATTGCCTATAATCCTAGCTACTCAGGAGGCTGAAATCTAAGGATCACGGTTTGAAGCCAGCCCAAGCAGGAAAGTCCGTGAGACTCTTATCTACAATTAACCACTAAAAAAGCCAGAAGTAGAGCTGTGGCTGTAGTAATAGAATACTAGTAGCCTTGAGCACAAAAACTCAGGGACAGCACCCAGGCCCTGAGTTCAAGCCCCAGGACTGATGAAAATAAATAAATAAATAGTTTTCTACTTAGTAAAACTTAGCCAGGTGCTGGTGGCTCATGCCTGTAATCCTAGATTCTCAAGAGGCTAAGATCTAAGAATAGTGGTACAAAGCCAACTCAGTCAAGAAAGTCCAAGAGACTTTTACCACCAATAAACTACTCACAAAAAGCCAGAAGTGGCAGTGTGGCTCAAGTAGTAGGACACTAGCCTTGAGGCAAAAAAGCTCGGAAAGATAGAGCCTAGGCCCAGAGTTCAAGCTTCAGGATCAGTTCCTCACCCCCAACCCCTAAAAAGTATATACCAGTATTTCCCTCAATTCAAAACTAACATGCTTCATAATCCAAAGAGCTAACAGTTAAAATCCACCATTCAAAAAAAGCCAGTCAGGTGAATGGCTGAGTGTGGTGGTAATCTCAGCATTCAGATGAGAGAGAGAGCCAAGAGGCAATGAATTCAAGGCTAGCCTGGACTGAAAAAAGAAAACACACCATTCAATGCATTCCTCCACAAATATGACCCATAAATTTAGAAAGTCAATGTTGAAAAGAAAAAGAAAAAGAAACAAAAAATTGCTGTGCAATTCAACTCAGAAATTCACTTTTTAGGGGTTGGGAAGGTGGCTCAGTGGTAGAGCGCTTGCCTTGCATGCCTGAGGCCCTGGGTTCCATTCCTCAACACCACATAAGCAAAAAACCCCCACTGTGGCTCAAGTGGTAGAATGCTAGCCTTGAGCTGAAGAGCTGAGGGACAGCGCCCAGGCCCAGAGTTCAGGCCCTACAACCTGAAGAAAAGAAAAAAAAAAAAAAAGAAGAAGAAATTCACTTTTTTTATTTTTGTTTTGTGTGCTAGTCCTGGGGCTAAAACTCAGGACCTAGGTACTGTCCTTGAGCTTTGTGCTCAAGACGAGTGCTTTACCTAACTTGAGTCCCAGCTCCACCTGTGGCTTTTTGGTGGTTAATTGGAGAAAAGAGTCTCACAGACTTTCCTGCCTGGGCTTCGAAGTCATTACCTCATATCTCAGCCTACTAAGTAGCTAGGATTAGAGGTGTGAACCATCAGAGCCCAGCCCAGAAATTCACTTTTTTTTTTTTCGGGTCCGGTCATGGGGCCTGAACTCTGGGCTTGGGTGCTGTCCCTTAGCTCTTCAGCTCAAGGCTAGCACTCTACCACTTGAGCCACAGCGCCACTTCCGGCTTTTTTTCATTTTGCTTATGTGGTGCTGAGGAATCGAACCCAGGGCCTCATGCATACAAGGCAAGCTCCCAGCCCAGGAATTCACATTTTTTAAGAGCATCAAAAACTCATGAAAAAATGAAGCCAGGCACTAGTGGCTCACACCTGTAATTCTAGTTACTCAGAAGGCAAAGATGTGGGGAGGGGGGACTCATAAAAAATGAAGTCTTATTTGTATAACACACAAAAGTACTAGGGCCAAAAAGTCAAAAATGGAATTGTGGCTCAAGTGGTCAAGTGGTAGAGTGTTAGCCTTCAGTGGGAGGAAAAAAAAGAAGAATGAGTTCAAGCCCCAGGACAGGCACAGAAAAAAAAAAAAAAGACAATGACTGTGCCAAATGTGTGATTTTTCTGCAAAAGGGTATACATGGTCACTGTGTTCTGTAAACAGTCCAGACCAGCAGGAATGGTCTATGGTCCATCTGTTTACTCCAGGTGCCTGCGAATTCTTAGCATTTCCCATCTGGTAATTACAGGAAATTACTTCCTACCTACTGCTTATTTTAGAAAGATTCTAAATCACTCAATGTTGGAGGAACGGTACCAGGTAAACAAAAGATAAATATGAATACATTTAATATTATTTAACAGAATCAGTAAGTGCAATTATACTTCGTACATGATAATAATTAGCTCTACTGAAAATGCATTTCATGATATGCAATGAAATTCTGAAGCCAGATCTACTTGGTACTCATCTGTCAGTGATCAAGGAATTGCTGCCTCCTCAACTAGCCTTCAACAACATCTAGGAAAAGCCAGAAAACTCCTCCAGGACGAGGAAGTGAACACCCTATTTCTCACAATCAATTCACCATATTTCTGAATTCTTTCTTAGGACCTAGCAAGAAAATGTTCAAAACTGGCTGGGATAGTGCATTTCTGTCATCATAGCACTTCAGAGGCTGAGGCTTGCCAGTCTGGGCAAGACCCAGTCTCAAAACCAGCCAGCCAGCCAGCCAAACAAACAAAAACCTTGACAATCATTTTAAAATGTTACAGCCAATGAATCTTTATTCATTTAGTGTCAGATTCTTGAAAAGTTTTCTTAAGTTAATTATAACTCGATCCATCTTTCTATCACTACTTTTTAAGCCCCAAATAAATTAAAACCCTACAAGCTGCTTTGCAATTTCTTTTTTCACACACAGTACGTGAAAACAGGGTCTTTAACAAAGTCAGGATCCTAACTGTGAATGTTAGGTTACAAGGAAACAATTCAGCAGACCTGAAGATAGAAAGAAGACCCTGGTTATCCAGGTGAAGCCAAGGTAATCACAAGAGTTCTTCCGTGGAAGAGGCAGACACAGAAAGAGATGTTGGGTCAGAGACATGCTACCTTGTCGACTTTCAAAACTGGAAGAGGCAGACATAAGCCAATGAATGTAGGTAGCATCAACCTACAGGAAGGCGAAAAAGAATTCTCTTCGAAAGCCTGGAGAAAATCTCATGTGGATGGAGCTCATTTTGGCCTATATCAAACTCCAAAACAAAGGATTTGTGTTATTTTAAGCCACAAAGTCTGTAACCATTTGTTACAGTGGCAATAGAAAACTGAGGAACTATTTTTTTTTCCCCAGGGCTAAGGACCGAACCCAGGGCCTTGAGCACGCCGGGCGGGCGCCCTTCTGCTGGGCTAAACCCCCAGCCCCTGAGGAACTATTTTGTATGCATTTTTCTTCATCCATGTGTTCATAGATTTTTGTTTTGTTTTGTTTCAGACAAAGTCTCCCTATGTAACCCAGGCTGGCCTTGAACTGGTGATCTTCCTGCCTTAGTCTCCCAAGTGCTGGGATTACAGGTCTCCTACAGTGAACATACATATAGCACCCACATTTAATTTTGAAAGGAATATTCTGGCTGCAAATGCTAACATGGCCCAGCTTCACAGTGGAAGAAGGGGATCTTGGGCTCTTCAATTTCATACAAAGCTGCCAATTTGGTGAGGAAGAAAGGGATGAATGGTAGGAGTGAGTGCTTTAAGGAGAGAACTACAACTTGGTGAGTAGACATAGGTGGGGAATAAAGAAATTGGTATCAAGAATGATGTACTGTACACCTGAGGCCAAGCAGGAGATGAGTTTAAAGCCAGTCTACTACCAAGAGTTCCAGTCCAGTTTGGACTACACACACACACACACACCCTAAACAACAACAACAAAACTTATCTTTAAAAAAGAAAAGGCGTATTTGGGAGGCTAAGGAAAGAAGCTAGAGAGTTAATGCAAACCTGGGCTACATAGAACCCATTTCAAAAAGGGGGGAGAAGAGAGGGGAGGGGAGGGGGGAGGAGAAGGAAGGAGGGAGGGAAGGTGGGAGGGAGGGAGGGAGGAAAGGGAAGGGAAGGGAAGGGAGGGGGGAGGGGAAAGGGGAAAGGAATAGGCTCCAGGTTCTGTCTTGAATACCACTATTTTAGTGGTTCTATTTACTAAATTAAGAAAGATGGGGGAAACAAAATCCCCAAGTAAAAGACACAAGTCTAATAAAATAATATTTTTGTTGTTAAGTGAAAAACCCAACAGTATTTATCAAACGAGCAGCTGAATATATAAGCATGGAGTTAAAAGATAGATATCAGCTATTGATAAAAACTTGGGAAGACACAAATAACATTTGAGCTCAGTGTAATGAATAAGGTCATTGGAACCTGTGTAAAGAGAAAGGAAAGGCATAAGAGCCTGCAGTAAGGAGCTCT